TGCAATCTCATCGTTCTGTAAAAATTAAGAAAATAAGTTTTTGCAAGGAAGAGAAGTGAGTGCATGTGGTCTGGTAGATTTGGCATAGTATTTGGTGCTCTATTTGGTTGTTTACGACACTTGCGCGTAAAAAATGGCGCATAAAGCTGAAAATTTCAATTTAGTGTTTACTCACAAAACGTAGTTGAAAGCTAGCATTTTCCGCGCAAGTGTTGCCTGCACCGCAAGAGCACTTTGCGGGAAATGGAAAAAACGGGAAAATGCCAGCTCAAACGAATGTAGTAAACGATCCGGTCCAGCCCGTACATAACATGGTGCGATTGCACACAACATGGACATTGCGCGTGAAATCTGGATCTTTCAATGGCATACGTATGCTCGCGACAAGTGCGATTTTTTCCCAGTATTTATGTTTCATTAAACAAGATTTTGACGCTTCAAAGAAGAAATTTGATAATTTAATATGAAAATGTAAGTAAGGTTGCCAACAAAATCACAATACGACGTAAAATGTGCAAGTTGTGTGCAATCGCACTTTCATTTTGTAGTTGTATAACTCTAGTCAATGACGCAGACATTCGAAGCCGCAGCGCGGTCGTCAATTTTTCTACCATGTTTTTACATTTTTGTCAAAATACACCATACTTATGATAGATTGTGCTTTATAGTATTATGCAGATAAATCAATCAAGATACATGTCGACGAGATTATGAAATCTGATCGATAAATCAATAACTCTGCTTACTCTATCTTGATGACTCTGTAAACGTACACTGTCCCAGTCTCCCCGCTCCGAACTTTCGACTTTCTCGTCCAACACCGGTTTTCCACTTCTTCGAAGAAATATCAACCATAAGGCTTCGGTTACCTGCAAACCTGCAATTTATCGCGCATCATGTGAGAAAAGAAAACGAACCTTTGCGCAAGTAAGATTGCCGGCGTGACTAGCAATCATTTGTAGGAGAAAAACTCCGTCCGGTCTGAGAAAACGATCAGTAAATCTTCCAATTTGGTCGGATTCCATGTCGAGGTGTTTAGCAACGAAGTTTTGTCGACAATGTGCCGAAGCGAGCGCACAAAGCCAGAACAACAGGTTCAGAGCAGTTATTAGCCCGAGCACCTTAAACATATGGGTTACTTCAGAAGATCACAATTTCCTCTTTATCTCAACCAATTTTCTTCCTTCAATCAAAAAGAAACTATGAACAATTCGCGACTGATACAACCTGGCATTTTATATTTTGAAGAATATTGAGTTATGCCATTGCTGAATGAACGGAGCCGATTCTCCCTTGTTTTTTCTTTCAATCTGAGCAGCGAAGTTAATAAAAGTATTTGCAGTTTCACTCGCAAAATTCTAAATTTGTCGAAGTTTTACCTTCAAAATACATATTAGTCCGGTGCAAAAGTTCTTTCCGTTTTTT